TTATATATATATATTTTTTTTAAATTTAATATAATTTATTTTTGATTGAATATATAAAAAATAAATTTAAAAAAAATATTTTGCATTGTATAAATTCACTTTTCCACATCCAAAATGTAATTGTTATATGTAAACAATGTTTGTAAATCCCAGGCCCTGAAGATGATCTCAATAAAGGTCGAAACGTTGGCACGATAAAGAAAATGTTTTTCTAAAATCTACGTCACACCAGACCGCATCTTACGATCTCCAGTAATCATAATCAATGAACTTTTACTAACAATGAGATGCGATTAATGCTTGCTGAAAAATACACGAGCACGCTCACAGTAAAGATGTGATGTCACTATTTTTTAATATCATCCATATATTAAAACAAGCCTTGTTTAAATTGATGTAAATCATAATGAAATATACTTTTGACCGGTTTTTTAAATTAACAAAACAGCTATTTTAACCCTCTTACAAATTTTATAATCATAAAATAAAATTTACGAATTACTTAAAAATTAGAACAATTAGTTATTTAATTATCTTACCCGACTGAGAATAGGTCACATACGGGCTCCTCGGGGGCCAAAGCACGCTCAGGTGTCCCTTATGCAGAGAAAGGTTGGTCAATGGTTGGGATCCCACATAATAAAAGCTCGTCATCCCTTGCCTCCAGAGAGCGTGTAGGCATGTCGCCAGATTTAATAAGGGTTCTCGGTCACCATGACGAATTTCTGGGCCCCCTGTTCCGCTTTTTGGGGGACGTGGTTTTTTTACAGTCTACAATCTTATGTGTTTTGTTGTTATGTGCTCGTTTGAGTGCTTGTATTTATTAGTGTGGGTGGTGAGGAGCTGATGGTACTATAGCAATGTGTGTGTCTAGGATCGATGGCGGAATATTTATACCCCATCGACCTTAATTTAGATTAGATTATTAATATTGTGTAGGTGGATGGAGCAATGTCGACTATTCCACCCCCTCATCAGAATGAATGCAATGTATGAATGTATTTATTTGTGCGAATGTATTATGGAATTTAGCCGAATTTTAGGCTAGATTATATTTTGCATGCGTTGGGAACTGAAATGATCTAGCTGTCGACTGACCCCGTTGGAGCTTAACCCAAGGTTGGGAAGCGCCATCTCCTGGGCATTTGGTTTAAGGGGGATATTAGCGATCCGGGTCCAACCCAATATGTGGGGTAGGTGAACTTTCCTATTAACTAATAGACCCTAGGGTCGGCACATCGGGGAGTGACAACACTTCGTGCTGAAAGTCCGGAATATTTTATCACTAGGTTTAGATAAACAAGAAGATGCTGATTTCGGAATGGATTTATAATGAATCATGATGATTATATAGACAGATAGATATTACAACGTGTCAATATTAAAAAAAAATTAGGAATCTTTTAACCGTTAGAAGAGAAATGTGTGAAGTAATTTATTAGCGTGAATAATAATAAAGGGCTGATCCCCATGTATCCCGAGTACTCTAGGGTAGAGGTTAATGCTAACCAGATATTTTTATCTTGTTTCTGTGTATTTGTGTTATTTGTCGAGGCCCTGAGGTATAGAGAGGCCAGCACTAGGATAAAGAAAAGAGAAAGTTGGTTAGATCATAATACAAATGTCACGAACATTCTGGATCAAGGTATGGCCTTGGAGAAGAAAGCAAATTCAGTTGTAAACTGCCAAGCTTTCCACATTTGGTCAGTTTCTGAATGAGCAATAAGGTATCTGCAACTTTTTTCTTACTAGTTCTCTACCTACCCTTCACCCACCTCTCCGGTGTGAGCAAACATGGTCCTGTTGTTTTAATCCTCATCCAGTAACTGGCCATTAGTTAACCAATAAAACTGAAAGAACTGTGTTGCTCATAGAATTAGTAGTGCAGTGCAGTTGGCTACAATGTATCCATTGTGTAAAAAGTTAGGCTGACTTTTTTACCTTTTCGGAAGGGGCTCTGGAACTTTTACCTTTTCTTATGAGTTCTCTCAGGTTATGGATCAAAAAAGGACGGACTTGACCACACTGTAGATACCATTACATCGATATGCTAATTTATTGGAGGGAGGTCTCGAACTTGGCCCTTTTTTCACGGTTAGGTTTTTGTTGGGATTTTACATTAATTTAAATAAAACGTTTTTTATTCCAAAAATGAATTTAAGAACACTTTGAAATCTAATTTAAAAACGTTATCATTTGTTAATGTAGATATAAAGGTGGAAATTAACGAAACAAATAATTGAACGAGTCGAGATCTTGCATAAACAATTTTTTTAGTAGAGATATAGAAACAATAAACATCCGGATTTTGCTTGATTCCCCAGGAATAAATTGTACGAACACTTTATCAACTGAGAGATGGATCTCAATTAACATTCTACAACAATTCACATTTTTAAAATTTACCAGATTGTAAAATCTTCTACAAAATTAATTGTTAGAAATTGGCATTGTCGAGCGTGGTGTATTTTTCAATTATAGGGAATTAATGTTTACGAGAAATCGTTTCAGTTAATAAAAAACAGTCGTCAGAGTTGACAATGTTGATTTATATTTTAAGTCCTAGTTTTATCTAAATCTAAGAAACTGCTGGATTATTTTTACAAAAATTTGTGTTTCGCAATTACACCATTCTAACTAACCAAACATTAGGTTCCATTCATTCTATCGATTTCCACATCCCTTTGTCTGATTTGTTGTTAAATTAATTAGTAATAAATTGTTGTTTTAGGAACTGCAATGGGCGGCGGAGGGTGGAGGCAATTTGAATCTGATAGCAAAGTCGGAAGATCTTTAAGAAACCGTAAATATAAGTAAGTTTATCTAGTTTACTTAGAATAAATTTTGATAATTCTAAACATTAATAAGTAATATAAATTTTACGGAATGTAATAATTTTCAAGAAACGTTTTTTATATATATTTTCAATGGTTTTCTAGCACAATTAAAATATAAAAAAATAATTGTTTGGTTTAATTAATTTAATTGTGCTAGAAAACCAAAAATAAATCTATAGAATTATATCATAGTATTACAACCAAATTAATAAAAATCCAGTTTTGAAATATTCTCCCAATCTTTTCCTATGGAAGAACAAGCACTACTTTTATTTGAAAAGACATGCAACTCTGCTATAAGAATGTTTTCTGAACCCGGCTACAAAAATAGGTCTTTGCTGTCCTAAATACGATCTCTCGACATTCTCTCATATATAAGTAACATATTTCATTTTACCACTTCTTTGCGTTTTATATTAAAAAAAATCACAAAAATTGTGATTTAGAAAAATTATATTGACAAAATAGAAAGTGATTCCGGTTTGAACTGCCAACGGGTTTTTTTAAAATTATATGTGTTTAAATACAAACTCTTCTTTTATTATTATTGAACAATTTAATTTCACTCTTCCATGTATATCAATCTATTTTCCATGGATAATCTATCTTCAACGTTTATTCATGCCTTCAATCAGATTCAGTTCAACGTCCTTTCCTTTTTTATTTTATTATTATTTTTTTTATATATGGTCTTCTTCTCAAAATCGGTTGTTGCATTTGAACGGTTTCTTATTTTAACAAGAATGAACATGAATCCCTAAGAATGTTTTATTCCGGCTTCTTCCTGTTGGGATTGTTTCAGTTTTATTTCATTAAATGATGGTGCTTTTTTTCCAATTCCGAATATTAATAGTTTTATCTTTGAGTAAATATAATGGGAGTAACCATCATCTCATGTAACCGTCGTAACACGTGGGTCCTGGGTATGCATTTCCTCCTCAATATTCAACCATAATTTCTGAAAGTTAATAATGTTTGTTATAACGAAAAATATATGTTTATATTTTTGAAAGAAACATTGTTTGCAGTCTAAGGACATGAAGGGGCCAGTCCTCTTTTATAAATGGCCCTCATTTGTTTTCTTTTTATCCCTTTCTAGATCTTTCTGCTGTCACTTTATTCGTGTATTTCTAAGTAAACATTTTTTGGTTAAAAAAGCAACCAATGAGAAAGTTTAGGATGTACTTCAGGGTTAAATGTTAGATGTCCTCGTGGGATTAACTTGTAGCTTGGTCGTTTCCGATCACTTTGGTCTGTATTTCGAATGGTTCTAGTCCTAGTATCCCACTGAAGATGGCAAGAAGCCGACACGAGTTTGGCAGACCAAAACGATCGGAAACGCACGTCAATGCAAAGCAAAGTATGTGTATAAAATATTCATTAAATTTTATGTTCTTTCTATGGATCAAGGAAGTTTTTTCACGAAACACAACAGACAAAACGGCTCTTCACCCCCGAAATAAAGAAGTTTCTCAAGGCTTGGTTGGTTAGGCGGAGAAAGAACCCGTATCCGAATAGGTCAGAGAAGAAAGACTTGGCACATCAAACCGGTCTGACTTACACACAAGTAAGTACTCCCCCAAATTAACAAAACAAACGTTGTTCAAAATGTATATATTTCAGATCTGCAATTGGTTCGCCAACTGGAGGCGGAAGCTGAAAAATTCGTGCAGGTCGAAGGACGGCAGTTGGGGCCTGTTGATCAAAGGGTACAACCACCAGGCGAAAGGGAACGTCGAACAATTCAGCATATCTTCCGATGACAGCATATGGGACGAGACGGCGTACAGCGTCGGTAAGCGGATCCTTTATAAAATCCAAACTCAATAAGCTGATCCGTCTGGTTCTGAAGATTCCGACCGGAATTCGCCCGGAGTGGCGGAGAACACGACGGAGATCGACCATTGCTACTACAACAACTCCCAGTTGACGGGAAACGAGCAGTGCAAGACGAACGAGATCCGAGAGACGAGACCGGTCCTCCTGACCAAGTGGCTGGAGAGCACTGCCAGGTACGCGGGCAAAAGGGAGAGGTACGTACCTTGGGCAGCGTACAACGTCACCTGGGAACCGGAGAAAAGACGCCACAGGGAAGAGCTGGACGCCGCTGAAGCCCTCACGAAACTAGGAGCCTGGACGCCAACGCCCATTCCGGGACATTGAAACCAACAAAATTGGCTCATTCACACGGAGATTAATAATGCTAGAAGAGTTTTATTTTTTCACCTTAAAATATAATGGCTAGTTTAGATATTCGTCATCGTTCGATCAATAGTAATTTAATAGAATAAATTAGTTTTATTTTAAAGAAATAAGAAATGCAAAATATGGGCGTAAGAGAATTTTAAGAACATTAAAAATTGAACCGTTTTAGGGGTAGATCCATTGACAAATATTTTGAGCCTATAGGTAGAATACAAAAACATAGTTCTGCAAGAAATATTCAATAACAACAATAATCCATATATGTATTTAGTAGTCATAATTGACCAATTAATTATTTAAATTAAGTATACTTTTTATCTAAGGTCTTGGTTGAGATAAAAAAGCTAGTGACACAAGCGGGATTCGAACCCACGACCTTCGGCTCAGGTGAGATGAGGAATTGGTCTCCGAGTGGATGGCAGTCACGATAGATCAAGTGGTACAGCAACGGTGTATTAACGGTCCTGGGTTCGAATCTCCCTCGTGACTCTAGCTTTTTTCATCTCAACCAAGTCATTAGATAAAAAGTATAAGTAATTTAAATAATAGTGAAGTGTTCATGTCAATCATAAATTATTTGACTGTAAATTTGTTCTCAATTCGTTACGCTTAAAAAAAATATTCAACAAAATTTTTAAACAAAGTTGCAACTAAATTTATTTTTCGAAACACATTTTGATATGAACCTCCGTCGAGTTGCGAAACATGCGAATTCGTTCGACTGTAGGTACAAGCAGAATTCGGCTAATCGAGAAATATCCAATACAATTTAATTATTATTTTCCATTTGTATGATCGTAATAATATAAAGATTTAAAAGTTATTATCTATCAACTTCAAACTATAATTATAACTTCCGACTGTTTTAAATTGTGATTATTTAATTCAGACAGTACATGTTTTGGAGAAATGTTTCTGAAAAATATTATAGCAAATCTATTCATAACCGAAAGGTGTTTGAACTAACTTACAATATTATTTATTCTAGTTCCCAATTTATGAATCTTAAAATCTGTTTATGTAATTATTATTTTTTGTCTGAATGAACAATTGTTCATAGTTTCTGTGTTGTAGTCGTCCTGTGTTGTAACAATTTTGTAGTTTCTGTCAAACTAGATTTCTGATTTTATCAACAAAATCTTAATAATAATAAAGCAATTTTAAAAATCATTGGAGAATTGTAGAACCGGTCAATGTAGTATTTTCATTCATTCTGTTTTTCTACGGTATACTGTATTTAGGTCAACCGCCCAGACTTTCAAGGAGTAAATGTCAAAAATTGTGATTGTAAGTACTGTAAGAACGTAAGTGATTAGCTCAATTTTTCCTGGTTATTTTTTTTTGTGTGTAAATAATTTAAGTTGTCAATAAGTTAAAAAATCAGAACTTTTTTAATAAAAGGCTCGAGTGAATCTAGTCTAAGTGATCGCTTTATAAAAATAACAAAATCCAATCGCAAACGCGGAAACTGGGTGCCTTGGAAGAACGATAGACGATCCTTGCATTTGCAAGTAGTTTAATTAGAAAAACAATGTATATAAAATGTATTTATTTATGTTTGTATATAATCAAAGAGGCTGTTAAAAAGTAGTAATAAATTATATAGTTTTGAAAAGTCTTAACTTATTACTCAAGCCATCCCTAAGTATCGACAAAGCAATAAAGAACAAACAATTGATATGTTACTAAAATAAGCCCAGCTATTGTCAAAATTTTGAATATATATTATATAGAATTATGCTGTATAACTGGATCTACGCACATGATATAATATTTTATGACATATTTTTAATGAAGAATAATGTAATTTTCACTTAATTACAAGACAAATGGGTTAAATATAGCTTATTAATTTTCTGTGCAGTTGCAATAAGTTTTAACAATCTTTTGGCTGTGCTTTTTTTAAAATTTGTTGATTATGAAATAATATATAGAAATTTAAAAAAAATTATGATATTTGTATATTCTAAATTTAAAATTTAATAATGTAGAAAATATTTTTTTTAATAAGAATAATTTGTCCATCTGCAAAGGTCATTCACAGAATTTTCAGTCTTTTATTGTTTAAGAGATGTAGCAGTCTTAACGTTATCTTAGGATGAACGTTATATGCTGAGTGAAGTCGAACATAAAGTAGGCGGAATTAATGATGCCACGTCGGTATTTCAATATTCCGCAATAACCATTTGTTTCTAGAGATGAAGAGGAAAACAGATTCTTCACAAAATATGTAGACTTTTCCTTCTAATTGTACGTTTTATGCAGTTCGCTTTTAATTTTTTAATCTTAAATTGGGCTTTCCAAAAAAGCCCATGTTTTTTTAATGAGTTAGTAACGAAGGTCAAATTGACAACCTGTATTTGTATAATAATTATGAATCAAAATGAAATGTATAAACACTATGTACAATAAAATGGAAATACAATGATTAAATGAGCGCACCACCTTTAAATGTTAATGTTTTAGACTTATTCATATTTTGCATACAAAACCAGGTTTGGTTGTAAAAATTATACATTTAAAAAGAAAATATTACCTAATTGTACAAAATCGGGGCGTCGGTGGCCGAAACGGTTTAGGCGTTGACACGGCGCTCATCGCTGTAAGGTAAAGGTTCGGGGTTCGAATGCAGGGGACATACTTACAATTGGGCTTGTTTCAAAAACACCGGCACCCTGAGGGTTAATATGACCTCTGCTGTTGCGAAATTGTAAAAAATCAATTATTCAACTAAAAAAATCAAAAACAAATAAAAATGTAAAAAAATACTATTTGGTCCCTTTACTATTTCCAGCTCTGGCACCAAGTTAAACGCCTTTGCACTCCTTGTAAAAAAAAGTTTCTGGCAAAAGTCTGAGAAATTCTTTCACATTCTTCAAGCCTTTTTCAACTCTTCTAAGGTATTAGGACCTGGGTTTTGCCGTCGTACTCGTCGCTTAAGTTGGTCCCACATTCGATGTTCAAATTCGGACTTCACGCTGGCCACACCAAGCACTCAATTTCATCCTCATTCAGGTAGTCATCCGCAATACGTGCTCTAAGGGGTCTGGCATTATCTTGCATTAGCAAGAATCTCTCACCGATATGGGTGGCAAGTGGCACTACATGTTCTTCGATTATGTCTTGTAACTACCTCTGTTAATTAGAGTGTGAACCTGTGTGAAGTTTTCCTCCCACAATAACCAATTCGGTTCCGGCGTCCAAGTGATGCGGTGCCACCCCAGAACATTAACATCCACCGTGGAATGCCACCTGAGGAACCAAAGACCACAGGGCGTACCTCTCACTTGGGTGCCTCCATATAAAATTATGCCCATCTGGAGATTTGAGGCCAACCCTCATGTCATTTTATGAACTGTGGTAAGAAGTGGTCCACAAGCCGGGTGCCGGGCCCTGAGGTTATTTTAAATGAGTCTTCTTCTTACAGTCTTGGAGGAAATGAAAACATTTCGAACTTGTCTTATTAGATTTCTTATCTCATTTCCCGCAGTGTTGTGGTTTAGAGTTGATTTAGAGTCTAATGACGGATTTCTCGTCTGTAGACCTAGGTCGACCTTGTCCTGGCCTTCTAGTGTGAAGTGTGTTTTACATTCAGTCTCCTGGTGACTTCGCGCTGTCTGTATCCTTCCTCTTATAATGTTATGATCCTGACACCGTCATACTCACTCAAATGCCTGACTGGAACCATTAAAAAGGATTTAAGAATAAGAATAATATCAAATGAAATCAATAAAGGAGAAAAACGTACTGAAAGCGATCTTTAGGCGTAGCAGATTGGAAGGGCACAATGGTACTTTTTGTCAAATGGGATTAATCAATACAAAAGTAAACAAAGAAAGTAAAATAAACATTATTAACTGTTTATTTTGACTACGATAGCTCTTACAGGAAAATTCCTGTAAATAATGTAGAGAGATAATTGTTCTATTCATCAAAAAGACTTATCTAGGATAATTTTTTTCAACCAGAAATGAAGCACTTATTATTTTGGCATGAAAGTAATAAGTTGACAACAAATGACTTTTCAGTAAAAGTTTTTATATAATTAATGAGAAGAATAATTAGTCATTCGTGAACGAAGGGGGTCTTTCATGTTCATTGTACCTGAACGGTCCGATAAAAGAAATTTTCTGATAAAACCAATACCCATGTAAGATTTATTTTATTAACGTTTGTAATCATGTATGTTATTTGTATTACCTTTGGTTTCGCAGATACTTTAAAGACTACGCCTCGCTTAAGACCGTTTTGTATAAAAAGTTTAATTCCTCCTTCAAATCATTTTGAATATACGTCATTAAGAGTACAGTAGATAAAATGACCTAATTACATTTAAATATACAAAGTACGTATATTTGTTTAAGTTGAGTGGGTACTCGAGTATTTCATTATAATTAGTCAAAAGTTTGATATAACTATCAACTGAAAAGATTTTTTCTTGCTACATATGACTTTTTGATCAATAATTAACATTTACGTAACAATAACAGCATTAAAATCTGTGCATTACAGGTGTATTTTTGAATAATTTGTTAATTATTGATACTAATTTGCTTTTCTTAAATATTTTGGTTTTTTAAATTCACTAATTTCGTGGTCCGCTTGACCAATTAATTTATTACAATTAATTAAGGTTTTTAGTTGAGATAAAAAAGTCAATGGCACGAGCGGGATTCGAACCCACGATCTTCGGCTTAATACGCCGCTGCTTTACCACTTGAGCTATCGTGACCTCGATCCACTCGGACATCAACTCCCCATCTCAACCCCACCTTTTGAGTTTTCCCTCCTCTTTGCCATTTTGGTTTTTGTTAAAAAAATATATATTTTTTTTTAAATAAAAAGTAAGTTCATTACTTATTTAAACATTTATTTAAACGTTAGGGAATTTATACCATCAACAGAAAAAAAAAAAAAATATGCTGATGATGTGAGTACACTTCCTTTGTTATACTACGAACTACCAACTATGCTCTCTCTCTCTCTCTCTCTCTCTCTCTCTCTCTCTCTCTCTCTCTCTTTCTCTCTCTCTCTCTCTCTCTCTTTCTCTCTATCTATGTACTTAATTTAGTAAGTCCCAGTTATTTGAAGTTCGGCTGCATTTGATTCCAATTTGAGGGTTCTAATGNCTTGACCAATTAATTTATTACAATTAATTAAGGTTTTTAGTTGAGATAAAAAAGTCAATGGCACGAGCGGGATTCGAACCCACGATCTTCGGCTTAATACGCCGCTGCTTTACCACTTGAGCTATCGTGACCTCGATCCACTCGGACATCAACTCCCCATCTCAACCCCACCTTTTGAGTTTTCCCTCCTCTTTGCCATTTTGGTTTTTGTTAAAAAAATATATATTTTTTTTTAAATAAAAAGTAAGTTCATTACTTATTTAAACATTTATTTAAACGTTAGGGAATTTATACCATCAACAGAAAAAAAAAAAAAATATGCTGATGATGTGAGTACACTTCCTTTGTTATACTACGAACTACCAACTATGCTCTCTCTCTCTCTCTCTCTCTCTCTCTCTCTCTCTCTCTCTCTCTCTCTCTCTCTCTCTCTCTCTCTTTCTCTCTATCTATGTACTTAATTTAGTAAGTCCCAGTTATTTGAAGTTCGGCTGCATTTGATTCCAATTTGAGGGTTATAATGTTTTCATAAATCCCACAGAGCAATATAATTCTATATAATATGTATTCAACATTTTAACAATTGCTGAACTTAGTTTGTTTAGTAACATGTTAATTGCGTGTCCTTTGTTGATAATTAAGGAAGATTTGGCTTAAAATTCAATCATGCTCGTATGGCTTATTTTTAAGCGAAAAGAAAACCCGCATCACGTGGGTGTCAAGAAGGTCAACGAAATGCCGACAAATCTCCTGGTAATTATTGAATTAAATTTGTAAAGTTTTCTATTATTACTCCTACTACTATTTAAAAAAATTAAAAGGTCATTCACGTTTTTCAGATCTGTTCGACTTTTTTATTTTAAATATTTGTTCAATTTCAATTTAATGGGGATTTTTTAAAAAATGTTTCACTTTACGTATATAAATGGGTTAGTAATGCTACTGCTTCAGGAGAAAAAAAAAACACCAGAAACGATCAGGTTGTAGACTATTGGTCTTTTCAGATCATTTTTGTCTGTTTATTCTCATAGTTTTGGGCTGTAAGACAAGTCTCAGCTTTTTGCAGATTTCCGATTAAAATGACTTTAAAACCTTGTCGTTCTACTTACAGACTCTTATGTGAATTAGATCAAATTATTGTTATTCGTTGTTGAAGACAATATCGAAGATAGAAGACTTAGTTGACCTCGATTATCCCGAACCAATGCTCGCAGAACAATCAAGACTCCCACTTGAATAGAGTCAAATCTAACGGGACTTTCTCCAAGCCAAGTTAGGCGGATCTAAGGTTTTTTTTATTGACGTATGATGTATACTAAATGGCGATTTCATGAAAGACTTTAATAGTTATTTTAATAGTGTTATGTTTGAAGCGGGAAACGATTCGAATGTCGGTGGTGATACCCCTTCCACGGTTTGGGCCTGGTGGGGCGTTGCTATAACGACTGGGAGTCGCACCGAGTCGGCCTACCGGCGGCGTGCCGTTTCAAACATTCGAGGCCACCAGTCAGTCGTGCCTGGGTTTCCATCTGTAGAGGGCATGTCGTCTCCCTCGGAACGGGTCAAACTCAAGCGGAAGATCACCCTCGCGAATGGGGTGGCCATCATCGTCGGAACCATCATCGGCTCGGGGATCTTCGTCTCTCCGGCAGGAGTCTATCTCGAGGCGAAGAGCGTCGGACTCTCACTCCTTGTATGGGCAGTGTCAGGGATCTTCTCCACCCTGGGGGCACTGTCATACGCCGAACTGGGGACGTGCATCACAAGGTACACCACTAGTCAAAAACGTTTAACTTCTACCCTATACAATATAGAAAATATCCCGTAACCTTGATTAGCCTCGACCACGTGGCTTTAGCTGAAAGCTTTATATAAACTTAAACTATCGTAGAAATGGCTGTTTTGTAAGGTGATAATGTTATAAAGTGAAGACGTAATTTACATATCATCAAAAGACTCCATGCCACCTATTTATCACCGTACATAAATATTTGAGACAGGGTTAGATTCGTTTGTAAACAGTGCAACATATGTGCTTTGGTTCTGATAACCAATACTACATATTGAATGAATGTAGAACAATTCGGCTATCGCCAATAAAAAATTTTAAGGTCAGTAAAAAAAAGAATTGTTGAACTAGAATAGTTTTTATATTTTAGTAGGTTTCGTGGTCCGCTTGACCAAATAAATTCTTTTTATTTAATTAAGATTTTTAATTGAGATAAAAAAGTCAGTTTCACGAGCTGGATTCGAACCCACTTGAAAAATGGCAAAAAGGAGGGAAAATTCAAAAGGTGGGGTTGAGATAGGAAGTTAGTGTCCGAGTGGATCTTAGTCACGATAGCACAAGTGGTAGAGCAGCGGCGTATCTAGCCAAAGGTCGTGGGTTCGAATCCCGCTCGTGACACTGACTTTTTATCTCAACTAAAAACCATAATTAATTGATTAGAAATATTGTTGTTTTATTGTTTGTTTTAAAGAGAATTTAATTAAGAATTAGTTAAGAATTAAAATAAACAGTTCAAAAAATAAATATTTATATAGTACCACTTTCCAGTATACAAATAATTAAATTGAAAGAACAATTTCTTGCAGCTATATATCAATTAGTGTTTACCACCCTGAAATTATAGTATCCGATGAGTTATAATGATGAAAATTCCACTTTGTGAATTCCTGCCAGAAGTATGATGGTCTAAATAAAAAAAAAAAAGAATCTAGAAAATCAAGAATCTATATTTATTTCGGGTTTACTCAACGGTCAAGAGAACTTCCTTGTAAAAGATCCTAAAAAGTTACTAATTTGACAATCAGCGAATTAAAAAATTATTTATTATTTTTATGGTTATTGAATTTGGAGGTTGTATTTTAAATGTAAATTGAAAGCAAAAATTTACGTTATTCTAGTCTATGGAAAAATTCAAATAGAAACGTTTACAAAAACAACCTTTGAAAATATGAATTTTGTCATAATGATTAGGCCCTTATAACGAATTGTCGACGTTTCCTTCTGATTGCCGTTATCGCGGATTACCACAAACAATCAGAAATGGCACTATCTCGTTCACCTCGCCCATCAACTTTCATGGACTTTCAGAACTTAGGCAAATTGGCAAACAAATGGTTAAGTATCAGATGTTTCGACTTGCGAGTCATTATTAGCAATTAAGTATCATACATTCTTATTATCGCAATTGACCAATTAATGTAATATGAAGTTTTATTGTTGAGAAGGACGTGTTTGAATAAAGTACCGAGAACTTTGTGTTAAAATTACTCAAAAAATATTTCCAGCAATAAAAGTAAAAAATACAACGAATTAATAATGAATTGTTCATGAAAATGAAAATCAGTATCTAATTATTATTAATTTTCGAATTAATTAAGGTTTTTAGTTGAGATAAAAATGTCAATGTCACGAGCGGGATTCGAACCCACGACCTTCGCCGCTACTCCACCACTTGAGTTATCGTGACTTCGATCCACTCGGACACCAACTTCCTATCTCAACCCCCCTTTGAACTTCAACCCCTTTGAAAAATGGCAAAAAGTAGGGAAAATTCAAAAGGTGGCGTTGAGTTGGGAAGTTGGTTTCCGAGTGGATAGAAGTCACGATAGCTCAGGTGGTGGAGTAGCGGTGTATCTAGCCGAAGGTCGTGGGTTCGAATCCCGCTCGTGACATTGACTTGTTTATCTCAACTAAAAACCTTAATTAATTGAAAGATATTAATTGGTCAAGCGGACCACGAAAACTAATGAATTATTATTAATTACCTAATTGGTTTCAATATAACACGCTCCACCATACTACAATAGATGTTTAGTTAGTTGAAACAAGAAATATGTTGATAATGAAACTGGTTCCAATAAATAAATAAAATTAACTATGCTTAAATTCTTGAGCATGTGAGTTAGTGTATGGACAAAAAACTTTAATTAATACTATTCACTGCTAACAAAAAAACAAAACAAAAAACAGTTGCTAACCCTTGATAAAATGGTAAGGAAATTCCACCAGGGTTATCTGGGTAAAGTAAACAGTAGGAGGAGTTTAAAAAAGCAAACAATGTTTTCTTATTTTATTAGGTTCGAGAAGCGACATTAATAGGAAACACGCTTTTAATAAAATCCATAGACATGAAGTTAAAACTTGTTTTTATTTTTTGTTTACACAATTTCTCGATCCGTGATAGCAAGGTGTTAAAAGCAGAATTGACTCTATAATAAAGATATTGTCAAATAATTAACAAGCTTTTTCTATGTCAAGCACATCACATAAACAAGTAATAGAAGATTTTACAAAATAACATTAATTTACTAGAATAGTTCAGTATATTTGCATTAGAAAAAACAAAACAAAAACGTTAAATTCGCGTTTCGCACTCGCAATTTTCTCCGCTTCACGGTAAAACATTGAATCGTGGATATGTAACCTAATCCGTCACTAATCCTAACGCTAACCCTAACCATACCTAAACTAACCTGATCCGTCATTAAACCGTCACTAATTTTAATCTAACTCTAACCCTAACCCACTCGACTTTTACCCGTTACTAACCCTTACCATAACGTCCTTAACCCGTCCCTGACCGTAACCTAACGCCTAATCCCAATCCGAACCCTAAACTTAGCCTATCCCCTGTAACGCGATATCAATGACGCAGAAAAATTCCAAACAGGCCACGTTCTTATTCCAGCCCAAAGACATAGCCGTGTTAATTTGCGAATAAGGACAGAGGCTATGAACTTTTTGGAAAAGGTAGTTTTACGCGCCTTTCGGAATTTCGAGTATTAAGTATTCATCATCAGGAAGAAGACACAAACACGTCTCTCGACGTGAATTGTAGAAAAGCTTTCCAATGTTCCAGACAGCAGCTGGTTTTTTTGTGCTGCTCTATTTTGATCGGGTAAAAAACGCGGATTATAACGAATTATAAATGTATATTTTGTGAAAAAAATTAAATTAAGGATTAATTTATGTCGAATATTATTTAAGAATACTACAAAATCGGGGAAAATCAAAATCTTTTATATTATTTATGCATTTATCTCCATGTTTGAATTGACATTTTTTTAATTTCAAATTTCTCATAACAATCTATTTGCCTCATTAGGTTGAAACTGTGTAACACTGTTGTATTTAAATTTAAATTGAAGTTGTATTTTGTTTCATTTAGATGGTCCTTAAATTCAGAAAATTTATTCGATTTAGGCAAGTGTTTTGAAACTCTCGTTTTAATTTCTCTGCCTCACCTACGTATTTATTATCGCAATCATTACAATTAAGTTTGTAAACCCCGCTTTTTGACAGGTTGTCAGCGTTGTCTTTAGGTTTTGAGAGGATGTTTCCAAGTGGACCCGCACTTATAACACACTATAAGCTACTCTAAAACTTTCTCGTTTAAGAATTTTAACTAATTTTTCTGATAGTTTCCCAATGTATGGCAATCAACCTAAAGATTCATTTTTGAATTTCAACACACAGTCACACATATCATAGTTGCGGGTTTTCTATATACGTCTATTTCGATTAGGTTATTTGTTATGGACAGTTGTAAGTCTAAAAAATTGCAATAACCATTTTTATTTATTTTCGATTGTAAAATCTATTCTAGTGTGTAAAGGATTAATTAATTGGAGGAATTCTTTTAGATCCTCTAGTATTCGCGGCCATGTTCATAAAATATCGTATTCATAGCGTTTCCAAAACAGGACAGATTTAATTAATTTGTTATTTGATTTGAAAAGAATTTTTTCAAAGTTACCCATGAATAAATATTTCAGCACAAAGTGGTGATAATGGAGACCCCATTGGTAACTCTTTAATTTTCATAAAATTTATCATTAAATTTACAATAAATAGATAGTAGGCATATATTTAAGTGGTCTACTAAATCTTTTTTACAAACTCGTGAATGCTGCTTTCCATAAGTTTTTGTTATATTAGTTTAGTACTTTCTTTATCAGGGATAATTGTAAATAAATTAGTTAACATCAAATGATACAAAGACACAGTTGTTATATATAATTATCTAATATGGATTTTGTCGGTATCGCGTAACATTGGTTTTCATTTTTTAACTGCATATTGATCATCTGAGAATAAAAAAAATCAGTATTTTTTTATAGCAGTTTGAAGTTTAGATTTTAAATCCATTATATTTAGTGGTCTTATTGACCAAATTACGTCTTTCAATTAATTAACCCTTTTGTGTATGGTTTTGGTTGAAATGAAAAATGGCAAAAGGAGGGAAAATTCGAAAGTTGTAGGTTGAGATGGAGCGTTGGCGTCCGAGTGGATCGAAGTCATAATAGGTCAAGTGGTAGAGCAGCGGCGTATTGAGCCGAAGGTATGGGTTCGAATCCCGCTCGAGACACTAACGTTTTCATTTCAACCGAAACCTATTTAAAAGAAAGATCTAGTTTTTAATTTTAAGATGGGGACTTTTGTATTTCTTTAAATCGTTATTGATGAGGCAGTGTTGTTGAATAGGAAGATTCGAAGAAGATTTAAAATATGTGTGGTGATTTTTTTCACATCCTACATGTATTTGTATAATATAAACAGAGTTTATAAATCCCAGGACCTGAAGATGATCTCAATAAAGATCGAAACGTTGGCACGATAAAGAATATGCCTTTCTAAAAACCTACACCAAACAGCATCTCTTCAAATAATCCTTTCAAATATGAATAAGTTCAAGGAACGTTGACGTGCAGACAATAGGACAGAGTGATGGTTGTGGGATGAGCTTACATTACTCTTA